TTTAAGAACAAAAACCACCTCAAATAACCTTGTTACCAACACATACCATATGGTAAAAGACTTCTAAGCACAAAAACCACCTCAAATAACCTTATTACCAACACATACCATATGGTAAAATACATTTAAGAACAAAAAAAAAACATGATACAGAATGATAATAATAATAATACTCATACAAACTAACAAACACAATAATAAACAACAAACTAGAAAACATACCTAGTGGCCGATACTCTTTGTTAGTCCGGTAAGTAGTATCAAAACTAATTGAATCACCAAAATAATGATAATCCATCCTCATCTTCCCATCTGCCCAAAAAATACTAGCAATGTTCTCTTCAACATCAACCTCCACCTCATGAAAGAACCCAGGATCCAGCTGTGCTTGACGTCTAAAGTATTCAAGCAATGCAGTCGCATCACCATACTCCATTGATGACGTCCTAACCGTTCGCAGATGGTTATTCAAATCATTCTTTGTGAACCCAACAAACTTCCTACCACCACCAGCCCTACTAATTGCATTATACGAAGAAGTCACACCAATACCAGCAGCATCATTCACCTCTGCCAGCATCTTATACACAGGAGCCATTCGTCTGCTGGATCTCACATAGTGACGCAGAGACTCAGGAATCATGTCATGGTTGTGCACATTATACCAACGATAGATCTTGTAGCATTTAAACTCTTTAAACCACCTCAGTCGTATATAAGCACCATTACATCCACCCCTGAGTTCTGGAACATTACGAACACGAACTGTCGTATCAACAACACCTGCATTATCAGGGTTATTCTCGCTACCTCTTTTCCAACCTTCCTTATTGCAACAATACTTGATATAATATACAGCTGAAGAACCACCATTGAGTTTCGGACACGCTGATTGGTTATAAATCCTCACACCAAAACCTTCATGATTCCCATAATCAACATAAAAATTATATGCATCATCTGGTGTATTGAACTCTAAGTCCTTCCAAGAATCACGAACAGTAGGATCTATACCATTGAAACCTACAAACATTATGAAACAACATATTAAATGGATTCCACACCACAACAGTATGAAATATCAATGTATACCAATAATTACAGCCATGATACACGAGTTACCACCATAGTATGGCATGGTAAAATCAAACTACAACACTATACCACATGGTATGGCATGGTAAAATCAATTATCACACACAACCCTCACATTTAACTTCCTAATTACCACATTTTACCACATGGTAATGTACTGTAAAATCAATTACCACATGATAAAGGCATGGTAAAATCAAATTACAACCCTATACCATATGGTATGACATGGTAAAATCAAACTACCACACTATACAACATGGTATGGCATGGTAAAATCAAATTACCACACTATACCATATGGTATGGCATGGTAAAATCAACTATCACACAGAATCCTCAAGTTTAACTTCCTAATTACCACATTTTACCACATGGTAATCTACTGTAAAATCAATTACCACATGATAAGGCATGGTAAAATCAAATTACCACACTATACCATATGGTATGGCATGGTAAAATCAATTATCACACAGAAACATCACATTTAACTTCCTAATTACCACATTTTACCACATGATAATTTACTATAAAATCAATAACCACATGATAAGGCATAGTAAAATCAAATTACGACACTATACAAACTTCAATAAACAAACAAATTTGCATATCTTACCTCCTGATTCACCAGAGTTAGCTGAATGATCAAATCCAAGATCAATAGATGAAGAAGCAGTTCCAACAGCACTAGATGAAGAACCAGATCCTACAACGCTGGTTGAAGAACCAGATCTATCAATTGGAACAACATCGCCACAATTTACGTTACTCATCTCACCAGAATACTGCCAAAACACCAAAACACAAAGAACATAACACATGAACAAGCTCGATTAGCTAAACATAAACAAGCTCGACTAGCAGCAATCAAAAACCTCCAACGAAACCAGAGATCAACAGAAAACTCGATTAGCTAAACAGAAAGAATCAAAAAAACTAATATCTAACCTCGTCGTCGATCAATTATGGAGAATCAGAAAAGATTCGCCGTCCCCTGTTTCGCAGCCGCTGCTCGCAATTTCTCTCTACAAAAACCGAATCCAACTCGAGCACACGTCGATCAATTATGGAGAATCAGAAAGCTCGATTCGAAGCTGCTGCTCGCAGTTTCTATCGCCGTCGATCAACAATGGAGAATCGCCGTCCTTATTTCTCAGCTGCTGCTCCCCCTGCTCGTAGTTTCTCTCTCCAAAATCCGAATCCAACTCGCGCACAGAAAAGATTTGCAACGGACAAAGAGGGAAAGTCATTTAATTCAAATATAAAATATCGGACAAAAATGCCCCTGACCGTGGACAAAAAACCCCGCATCAATCACAGCCACAAGATCCGTCCCGCCAAGATCGACGGTCCCTATGTGGTTACTCACGGGTGAGTAACAAAGGGTTACTCACCCTATCCTAAGCCGGTCCATACTCGTCCTGATGCTATAAGAATCTGTCTGACCGCATCGTACATATTTCCTTATTCAGTATATATATATATATGACTTTCTAAGGTCAGGTATAGTGATGGCAATGGGCCAGGATGAGGTGAGTAACTCAATACCAATGTCTCACCCCAATCTACTATGAGTTGGGGCTCGTAATACACTCGCGGGTACGGAGGGGGTGGGTTGACCCACTTTTACATGATATTAGAAAAAAATACACGCAAAATTTTACTTTTTAGGATAAAAAGAAGGCGAAAAGACTTCATGAATGAACAATAGTGATAATATAATGGGTAATTGAGTCTATCTAGTGAAAAATCAAGTCTAGCTAATCAGGTTGGGTAATACCCGACGGAATGGGTTGAAATTGTCATCCCTAATCATGTAGGGTTGGATAGAGTTAGTGGGTATGCTTAAATCAATGTACACACTGATTTTTTTAAAGTTATATTATAGATTTTTAGTACCCAAGATTATTTTTTCTCGCAATTTAATACTCAAACTTTATTTCCTTACAAAAAGGCCATAAATTTTGTAATAAAATTATGTTTTAGTACCTTTATATTTTTTATCTTGCACTATAACACCTAAAATTTTAGAACTTTACAAATAGGTCCAATTTATTGTTATTATAAATTATATATCACTAGTTGTTGTGGTGGATTTTTAGCTACTATTTAGAACTTTGCAAGCTGGTTCATGATTAATCATAGCGCGACCCACAATATTGAAGTCATATATCTAAATATAGCCATATTATATATACGTATAGCGCACTAGTGATAATTATTATGATTTACCTATCCCATATAAACTAATTAACCAGCCTAGCTAGCTAGCTAGATGCTGGAACATTCATCCTCTCTTGGGTCCTCCTCACTGAAAGACAGGCATATATACTCGAGATGTCTGATGGCTAATTCTCTAGACTACGCGGTCTTCTCATGTCATTATAATTCTGTTCCATACGGAAAAATTGGTCATTATTGGTTTGGAGTTTTGTGAATTGGACAGTCGAAACAACAGTGATACTATTCAAAGTTAAACCACTACTATTGTGTGGATCTACCTAGATACAATATGCTGAACATCAGATTTAACAACTTTCAATTTGCACCAACCACTACGGGAAAAATGGCCTCTTGCAACTCCCACAAATGTGTTGCGTTATGTATTAAAAGAGTTGCGAAAATCTATCGCAACACTTTTGGTAGGGTTGCATATAGTGGGGGTTGCAAAAAGAATAGGCAACTGTTTTTCCATTTTTCGTATCCTTACGCAACACCACTTTAGGCAACACGTTTCACAAGTTTTGCAACACATTTTTGTAAAATGGGCAACGGTATTTTTAACTTTTAGCAACAGTAAAATTTGTATATGTGACGAGTTTAAATCGTCACGAATAACTAACTCAATTGTGACAACATTGCTCGTAACAAAAATTAGAACTTGCGTGACAATATTATCGTCAATAAAAATTCTTTTTGTGACGAGGTAGTCCAGACACGAAAACTATCATTGTGACATGTCTAATTGTCACGAATAGATACATGTGTGACCATAATTATGTTACAAATACACATTGTGAAATTCCTCGTAAGATTTAGGGGTCGCGTTGGTTGTCACTATAGTAACTATTTGTGACGAAGTTTACTGTCACGTATGTCCCCTATGTGTGACGAATTTCAATCGTCACTCACAATATACTTTTGTGATTATCTAACTTTCACAAAAGAATCATTTTGTGACAATTTTTTTTATCACGAAAACACCGTACGTACCACAAAATGACGTCAATTGTGACCAATATTTCGTTGCAAAAGGATATATTTGGTGACAACTTTACTAATCATGACGGCACGAATAAAGCAATGGTGATGCATCACTGAGTTATCACAAATGTATTTCTATTTTGACAATAAAATTATCTTTTCAGCCTTCTTTTGTGACAAGAGATGATGACACGAGTATACCCCAAAAATGATGATAACGTATGTCCTACATGAGTGGATTTTGTGACAAGATTTTAGAACACATATTGCTACAACACTCTATTCAGTGAGAAGATGTGTCGTCACTTCTATTAATTGCGAGAACATGTTTTGTCACAAATTTAATGGTTTGACGACTAACGAGCTTCTTTAGTGACAAGAAATTAAAATACGAATATAATCATTGGTGAAAAAAAATATATCATATTTTGTGACAAGAATGGTCACCAAAATAAAAAAAAAATCAAATTCAATAGATAATAGGGGAAAAAGTCTTAAACTCAAATTTGGCTACTAATAATTCTAAATAGTATTGAAATCAATCAAAACCACAAATCTAACACTAATGAGAGGTTTTTTTATCTTTATAAATCATCCTATTTTTTCGGACGCAACAGTTGCATCATGTCTTCATCATGTTGCTTTTGTAGGTCAGCAAACCTTTGTTCCCATTTCTTGTTCTACTCTGCTAGTCGGGCCTCAAACTGTTGGTTTAACTCTGAATAGATCTCATTTCTTATCCCAGCTCTAACTTCTTCCCCAACCACAGCAATTTTCTCCCGCCTAACACGTCGAGACGAGAGCTTGCCCTTGGCTTTAAGTATTATCTCTTTGTTAGACAAATAAGTTCCTTGATTGACTATCTCTTTTATTCTTTCCTGTAAAAAAGAAAAAGAAATTATTCTATTTTATAATTTCAGAATGAAGTGTATATAAATGTAAGGCATTGAAAAAGTCTATGAAAGTTTACTTACGTAAATTGCTTTTGATGCCTCATCGCACCATATCATCTCTCCTTCTTCATTCTTCTTCATATGTTGAGCACGCCACACTTCATCAACGGACTTCTTAATTCCAGTTTTTGGATCTATCTATGATTTCAATTTCATTATTCAACTTAAAGAGTGTTAACAAAACTAAAAATGTGATATGAGGTAACAAAAATAAAATAAATTTAGAAGTTAAAACTAGAAGATCATTACCATATTAAATTCAAATTCATCATGAGATCTTGATCCACACACATTCTTCACTTTCACCTGTGATCTATTCTTCTTATTTCTCACACTCTTTTTCTGTATTGCTCACATTTTAGGATTAATAATAAATTCAAATAAACATATTCTAAAAGACTTAGAAGGAAAAAAAATTAAGGATTAAAATGTGCACTTACTTTGAAAAGCTCTGATCCCCAATTGACAACAGCTTGCTTCCAATCTTCTTTATCAATTCCGTCAGGAACATAACTTTCCCTTTCATTTTGATCCATCTCTTGAAATTTCTTGCGTAAGTTGTACAGCGTAATCGAATATGATTTTTTCATTTTCTTAAATATAAAAGATCTTAACTTCTCACTGCAATTGCTCTTGAATTTCTCCTACAAACAAAGTAACTCAAGAGTATAAGATTCTTAAGAATAGTTCAATATGCAAAATATTAACAGAAAATGAAAAGTGTGAAAATGATTGATCGTACCTCCACTAAGGAGCACAATTTATCACCAATTGTTTCTTCAACCTCATCCCAATTCGTGGCACTCAACTTAGCATGTTTTTTTTATTAGAACCCCACAGAAACTAACTAAGTGCCGAGCATTCTTACCAACAGCCTCTGTCTCTGTGTTGGGAAAATAAACCTCTACTTTTTTCCCATCTTGGGTTGCTAGCACAACAGCATTACAGGTTGTGATCCCCCTCTTATTCTTCACTGTAATAATAAATATGAGACAAAGTTTTAATGGCTTGATTTAATAATAAGAGCATATTAAAATATGGTACTCCAAAAGTATTAAGTATGCTAACTAGAAAACGACGTTTACATCTAGTTAAACTATTAACCAGCAAACCATAAATCAACAAACAAAAAAGACTCAATGAAAAAAAATGAGCAGACTTGTATTACAGTGAATAAAAAAAGGACTCCAATTAATTAAGTTGACTAGTTAGCGTGCAAATCATAAGCATCGCCGCTCTATATCCCAGGACTTGGGCAATTTTTAATGCGCATCATTTAACAAAAAATGGGTACTTCTTTTATAATATTAATGTAATCTTATCTTAATGGAAATTTGATCAATGGGATAAATAATAAAAGCTCCAACTCATCACAACTCATCACAAACGTGGGACGTATCATTTAACCAAGTTTGTTGTTTAACCTATCAAGCTCCAACTCATCACAAACGTGGGGCGTACTCCGCCAAAAAAAAAAATTTGGACTCAGTATGTCAAATAAAATTGGGAGTTTGCAGTTAGGGATTCAGATTAAATTAAATACGGTCCTTTGGCAATTAAAAGATGAACACGCAGAACGAGAAATAGCTTAAACAACAAACTAAAATTTCACGTACCTTTTGGAGGGTCCGAGTTAATTTCAGAGGATGGGACAAATGAAAATTCTTCTTGCATATTCTCTCCTTCCATCAGTGTTTCATCCGAATCATATTCGGTTTCAGTATGAACAGATGGGGAACGGGTCTCATCTGAATCGTAATTAGCTTCACGTGATTGTTTACTTCCTTTTCTCTGGTATGTGGTGTAAGCAGAGGACGCCATTGCTGTCAAGACAGACAAGGAGCATACGTACTGAATCAAACTTACGAGTGAAAACATGAGAAATAAGGAACAGTTGATCATCATACCTTGTAGCTTGGCGCAAGAGTAGAGCAAGCATATAACGACAATGAGTGGGTGGGACTTGGGAGTCCTCGTTGAATATATGCTGGCGGCTGGAAAGGAGAAAGGATTGGGGTTTCGTGAAAGTGGTAGAGTGAAAGAACTGCCTGAAAATCCTGCAAAATTTGACTTGTTCAACTAACTGTCTGAAATCCTCGAGGCTGGTAAGGACTGTCCTGGGGAGCAGGCTGATATGTTCTAGCGACATATCCTCTTCCATAGGAGTTCTGCTGAACACCATGCTACTGCAAGTGTGATCCTCCATTTCCTAAATAACAAAAAACATACTTTCAGGGTTAGGTACAGGCTAAATAATGTCTCAAAGATATTGCACATCACTGCCAAAGGTCTGTAGAATCACCGGATTAAAGGAATAATATGCTTAGTCAGAGTCTTCATAAAAATCATCAGTCATTTCAGCTTCACTTGAGTGTTCATCTTCATCACCATCACCATTTTCAGATTCACTTGTGTACTCTTCTTCAACCTCTAGGATTGCAGCTTCACTTGTGTTTTTGGGTTCAACAGCTGTCGTTTCAGTCTCCTTTGCAGCAAGATCGTCCTCCTCCTCCACATCAAGCCCCACTGCATCTTCCACTTCATCATTTGTCGATTCAGAAATTTCAACCGTTATTCCTTCAACATCATCTCTTGACCACTCAAGCTCCTCATTGTTATCAATTGGCAGGACATGCTCTATGCTAGGTGCTCTTGAATTAGAAGCATACTCATCTTCTAAGCCATCAACTCTCATGTCAAATAAGTCTCGAGGAAGAGTCTCCATAAAATAATGCCAATCTTGTTGCATTGGATCTTGCACATAAAATCCTTGCTTTACCTGATTTGCCATGACAAATGGGTCATTTTGATACTTTAACCTTCTAAAATTCACCCGAGTGAGCCCATAACCATCCTTTTCTGAATCAAACCACTTGCACTTGAACAGAACTATTTTGAAATGGGAATAGTAATCCAACTGAATGATCTCATCGATAGCTCCATAGTAAGTAACATCAGCAAGCACTGGATTTTTATCCTTGGAACTTGCATAACTTGATGTCATTGCTGTCAGCGTTACCCCACTACTTTGCGTTTGCAAGTTCTTCTCGCGACTCAAAGTATGAAACCTATAACCGTTAATAAGGTATCCTGAGAAGCTCTGAGCAACATAATTCGGACCAGAAGCTAGGTGTTTGATAATCATAGAAACATGTTTGTCATTTTGAACGCGCGACTCAAGCCATTGTACTATATCTTGTGCTTGACTCTTTTCTCTTGCCCAATTCCTGCCCTTACGTTTTCTGGTTTGTGATTGATCAAACTCACTGCAAAAACCAGTACATAATGAGCATAAAAGTAAAAAAATAACGAATTTGGTTAGATTGACATAATGACGACAGCATGAGAAGCTTTGTGATTGCTTAAAGGAAAAAATTTCTAATTACAATAAGTTCCCCCACACACACAGCCATCATCGTAAGACTTCATGAAGCATAAAGTTCACAAGGAAAGGAACTTATGAATAACATAACTCAGCAATGATGGGGAAAATTAATGGAAACATACTGGTACCAATGCAGTCAAAACCGCGATTCTACCTGGAAGCGGAAAATGGGTAAAATCGTAAAGCGTAGAATTAAAGCGTGAAAACGTAAGTTTTTGACGCATACTTTAATATAACGAAAAATGTGTTAAGTACGATAAAATATGAGTGTACATAGTTTAGATAAGTTAATAAATACTTCTAATTCATGTCTAAAGTTGAGAAATTCATAACATTTTAACAATAAGTTCATAAACATATATCTTAACAATAAGCTACATTCCCCTCTATGCAAGTGAATTTGGGAAGGGCATAGCTGGTGAATTAGATTACTCTATTGAAACTAAGAATGCACCCAAGTACTTGATATGTATCTTTTAATCTTAAATATATCATATTTTATGTGATTTACCTTTAAAATATAAGTATTTTCATGAATAGAATCCTCTTTTAGTGAACCAGAAGCGTAAAAGCGTAAAGCGTTTTAGTGAACCAGAAGCGTAAAAGCGTAAGCTTTTAAGCTTTAAAGCGCATTTTAGTCCCGATTTTATACACTTAAGATTTTATATGGAAACGAAAGCGTTTTGGTGTCCTATAAGCGTAAAACCGTAAGTTTTTAAGTTTTAAAGCGCGATTTTGACTGCATTGACTGGTACCAAATATTCAATGCAAAGAAGATATTGTATACTAAATGGAAGCAAGAAGATCATCTTACTCGATATATGCAGACAGCTCAGACAAGTTGTCCTGACAATTGATGATGACATATCGCCGTGCTTGGGTAAGAACCTCATCATTCAATTCAATTAGTTTACCCTTCCCATTCTTTTTTACTCCAAGCGGTCTGCCTAAAATTGGGAATAAATCTGCAGAATTTTCCCCTGTGACAAATCCTTCATGGTTCCTGGAACTTCGAGTGAACCTTGTATCACCATTATCACTCAAATATCTTGAGCAAAAGATTAAACATTCCTTAGCAGAGTTCCCTTCAGCTATGCTTGCTTCAGGCTGATTTCTATTCTTCACAAAATCCTTCAAGACACCCAAAAAACGCTCAATTGGGTACATCCACCGAGTTTGTACAGGCCCTCCCAGCCTAACTTCTTCGACCAAGTGAATTGGTAGATGAACCATAACATCGAAAAAGCTGGGTGGGAAAATCCTCTCAAATTGACAGAGAGTCTCAACAATTTCAGTTTGCAACTTATCCAACTCGCTCAATGATATGACCTTTCTACAAATGGCTTTGAAGAATTGACCAAGCCTAATGACAGCAATAGCAACATTTTTGGGCAAAGTCTTACATACTGCGACTTGAAGCAGGTATTGCATCATAAAGTGCGCATCATGACTCTTGTACCCAGATAGTTTCCTCTCCTTTAGGTTGACACAATGAGAAATGTTTGATGCAGCTCCATCTGGCACTTTAGCTCTTTTTAAAACTTGACAAAAAATGTCTTTTTCTTGGTTGGTTAGCCAAAAGCAAGCTCTAGGCAATACACTCTTCTTACGATTTGATGATTCAACCGGATGAAGCTTCTTCCTGATTCCCATATCACGTAAATCCAGACGAGCATTCAGATGATCTTTGGTCTTCCCAGGAATGTCTAACAATGTTCCTAAAACATTTTCAAAGACGTTCTTTTCTATATGCATCACGTCAAGATTATGACGCAATTGATTTTTCTCCCAATAAGGCAAATAAAAAAAAATGGACAACTTATGCAGAGGAAATCTTGTCTCACCTTTCTTATTGTCCCTCTTGCCAAAGTCATTGATGAATCCTGATAACTTTTCCTTGATCATCGAACCAGATAAAGGTATAGGACTCCGCCCAAACTCAGTTTTCCCGTTAAAAGAACTCCTGTCCCTCCTCCATTCATGATCATCATCAAGAAACCTACGTGTCCCCATATAACACATCTTATTGCTGTGACTCAACCGCATAGAGCATGTATCATAATTACAATTTGGACACGCATAATATCCTTTTGTGCTCCAACCAGACAACATGGCATATCCCGGAAAGTCACTAATGGTCCACATCAAACAAGCACGCATATTAAACATTTGCTTGCTATGAGCATCATAAGTAATTACTCCCTCACTCCATAGCTTCTTCATTTCATCCACAAAAGGTCCTAAATAGACATCAATATCATTCCCTGGTGATTTTGGCCCTGGGATAATCGAAGACAGCACCAAATACTCTGGTTTCATACACATCCAGGGTGGCAAGTTGTAGATTGCGACTACCACGGGCCATGTGCTATGATTACTTGTCATAGTCCTGAACGGATTGAAACCATCAGAAGCAATGGCAATCCGAACATTTCTACAATCAGCTGCAAAGTCCGGATGCAAGTCATCAAAATCTTTCCATGCTTGACCATCTGCAGGATGCCTAAGATTCTCATCTTTGATTCGCTTTTCCTCGTGCCATCTCATGTATGTGGCTGTTTTCGAAGACATGAACAACCTTTGGAGTCTTGGTATCAAAGGAAAGTAGCGGAAAATCTTGGCAGCAACTTGTTTCCCGGAAACATTATCATCTTCACCACAATTCCCATCATCCTTAGGGGGGAACTTGTATCTAGACTGGCCACATTTTCTGCAACTCTTCAGCTTACTATCATCATCACCATAATATAGCATACAATCTTTTGGACAAGCATCAATCCTCTTGTAGTTCAACCCTAAACCCTTAATCATTGTTTTCATTTTAACAAATGATTTGGGAATCTCAACATCAGGAAAAGCCTCGGTCAGCAAAGAAAGTAGAGAATCGAAAGAGGAGTTACTCCATCCATTGAGGCACTTTAGAAGATATATTCGAATGGTGAATGAAAGCTTGGAAAACTTTTCACAGCCCGGATACAATTCTTTATCAGCGACTTCTAATAGAGTGAAAAAGTGTTTCGTCTGTCCATCAGGCTCTCCACCGACACTAGCTGCAAGGTCACTTAATAGACCATACATATCATCATCTTCTACCATATCATCATTGTCACTATCTTCAACTTCCTTCTCTCCGTGGAAAGTCCAAATAGAGTACTTCTTCACAAATCCATGACAAATCAGGTGTTCATTGACGACATTTCTGGTTTGCCAAAACATATTCTTGCACTTCACACAGGGACACAAAATCTCATTTCCCTCAGCCGATTTAGCAAATGCAAAGTTCAGAAAATCAATGACCTGAATTAGTAAATATATACATTAAGGCCAGGACAATATAAGTACAAAGAGGAAAGCTGGAATTTCAGCAGAAAATCAATATCAAATTAGCAGTGAACAAAATCAAAAGCAAGATTCTATACAATTAAGCTTTCTGTGGTTTTATCTGTGGTACTGAGACAGGATGATAGCCTAGCTTGACTTACTAGCCTTGAATTAATTCCCAGCAAAGCTATAAACCAGAGGTACACATACCCGATTCTGCCAGCTGCATTGCTTATTTGATTGAAACAGCAAATGCACAAGTTATTGATCTTTCAACTGATGCAACAAAAAGATTAAACTAGCACACGTTTGCGATTCTGCCCCCTACCCTGCTGCAACTAATTCATAACAGAAGGCTGCATTTTTCTTCTAACTAAATCCAGACCAAGCTTCATCAAGTTCCATCAAAGATAAAGACTTCAAATCCAGATCAAGCTTCAGGAAACTTGCAGCAACAAATACTTTTACTTATGCTGCATTTTTCTTGTAGGTTGCTGGTTTCATGGTTGTTAACTCTTTCTGATGTTTGTCTTAACCAATGTATGTTGCATTTTTCTAAACCAACAAATCTGGATAGCATTAGACAAGTCATAAAATGCAGTGCAACCACTATAGGTCCC